GTCTGCATGGGGATTAATACACCCAGCTTTGGAAAGCAGAGGCAGAGACAAGGCGTTGGAGGCTAACAAACAAACATGGCTCCGGGCTAAAGTTTAACATGTGCTCCATCCACTTGATACTGCTGAGAATCTGCTTTTAGGAGTTCTTTGTTTTATTCAGAGGTCTAAAAATACTCTCTACATGAGCACCCAAGACTGCAGGAACTGCTGTTTGTGGTTAACTTCTCCGTGTAACTATCATCTTAAAAGTGTTCATTATATCCATCCAGGAAGAAAACCGACCTGAAAATCAAGAAGAGCGTTCCCTGGGTGCAGAACTTCTAGCTCCAGTCATAATAAAGAAGAGGGGATTGGTCAGCCAACACGGAACTCTCTTGTTTGTTAATATTCACTTTCATTGCATTTCATATGTATTTATTTCTCTTAATTTTCCCCCCCTTGTCTTAAAATTCTAATAGAAACTTTCATTGTTCTAAGATTTAACTTTTTTTTTTTTTTTTGAGCCAGAGTTTCATTATGTTGCTCAGGCTGGCCTCAAACTCCTGGCCTTAAGCAATCCTCCCACCTCAACCTACCAAGTAGCTGTGATTAATATGTCTTAATTAGCAAAAAAAAATATGTTTCAAGTTTGAATTTACATAAATTTGAAAAGAATTGCATAAGACTTAAATGCAACATTAACCACAGAAATAAATGTAGCATTTAAACTACATATTAAAGGATGCTCTTGCACTGGTGTGCAGGAAACTTCAGTGGTTTCTCACTGAATATCCTTTATATATTAGTCAGGAAACACAGAAAGCAGGGCAGTTTCATTCTTATGCTTTTGCATAGAAATCTGAAGACTTGAATGAATCCTGTAGGAACGTGGTATCATCATTTCACTCACCAAGGTGCAATGTGAGACCCCAAAGCCAACATCAGCTTTTATCTGCAAGGAATAAGGGAACCATGCTAAATGCATGTGACTAGAGTAAGCCTAGCCCAGTTACCATCACGTGTCTACGCACTCCGCCAGCTCTATCCACAGGATATTTGGAAACAGTATGCTAAGTGTCTGTGGATGCTTTGGTACCTTTGCAAATGCTGTTCCTTCTGCCTGAAAGGACCCTTCACCCTGAAAAGCATTTTGTCTCCTGGGAAGACCAAGTCCGGATGCACATCCCTGTGAAGTCTGCTCTCAGGCCGTGGTGCTCTTCTCTTTGTGTTCTGTAGTGTTCTGTTCACACTTTGAGTAGCACACGTACTGTGTTGTGTTGTCTCCTCCCACTAATTTGAGAGGTTTTATCTGTCAATCAGCTATGCGTCCTCTCAGTGACTTTTTACTACAGAGTAGACATTGAATAGCCATTTCTTAAATGAAAGGGAGGGGTTGCGGTCAGTTTGAATCTGGTGTAAATTGTTGATACTCTTCCAGACTTTACTCACAACTGCCTAAGAACAAAACTTTTCAGGGCCGGGCGCGGTGGCTCACGCCTGTAATCCCAGCACTTTGGGAGGCCGAGGCGGGTGGATCACGAGGTCGAGAGATCGAGACCATCCTGGTCAACATGGTGAAACCCTGTCTCTACTAAAAATACAAAAAAAATTAGCTGGGCATGGTGGCGCGTGCCTGTAGTCCCAGCTACTCAGGAGGCCTGAGGCAGGAGAATTGCCTGAACCCAGGAGGTGGAGGTTGCAGTGAGCCGAGATCACACCATTGCACTCCAGCCTGGGTAACAAGAGTGAAACTCCGTCTCAAAATAAAAACAAAAACAACAAAAACAACAACAACAACAAAAACTGTTCAGTATCAGGCTCTGAAGGCAGACTACCTGGTTCAAACACTGGTTTTGCCATTCACCAGCTGTATGGCTTTGGGAAATTTACTTAAGTTCTTTGTGCCTTAGTTTCCTCCCCTTTAAACACAGATTATAACAGTGCATACCTCATAGAGGTATTGTGAGGATTAAGTGATAGTTACATAAATCTTTAGAACACTGCTTGGCATAGTAAGCCCTTTATAAATCCCGGATAACCTACTATTAACAGGTTCCAGGAACTGGAAATACCCAGATGAATTAGAGGTGATTTCCTTTTCTTCAATGTCTTGTGGGAAAGACAGGTGGAAATAAAAGAAACCTGACAACACCATGGTAGAGACTGTAGAGGAAGTGCTTTGTTCCAGAGGCCTGGGGTAGGGGAGTCCAGAAGTGCCCCATGTGGGAAGTGGCATTTTAGCTGAGACTTGATGGATGGGTGGGATTGCTGGGTGGATTAGGTAGCATGTGCATTTTAGACACATATAAGTAAAGACAAAATATCTGAAAGACATGGCAATGTGAAAGCATGTGGGGCATTGGGGAGTGGCCGTAGTATAGGTCTGAGGTGAAAGGCAGTGGGGAGTGAGGCTGGAGGATGTCACACGTGCTATTAGCTGGTTTATTCAATATCTGTGTTCAACCACTTCTCCCCTGCCTTCCCCTACCAGAATCAGGAAAGTGAAACGCTCAGTGCTTCCACGCAGGTGAGGCCATGTGGGAGGTAACGGTATTCGCTGGGAAGGGCTTTTCTCCCAGGAAGAAAATGCAAAGTTTTGCAAGGAAAAGGCTTTTGTGGCTTGTTGCTTTCTTCCTGCCTGGAATTTGGGCTTGAGGCTTTAACAGAGGATGAGGCCATCTGCTAAGTAAGGATGGTGCAGTGGGTAGACCCGGAGAGTTGGGAGCCATGGGAGCTCACTCAGCAGAGCCTGGATCACCTCCCTCCGGACATCTTTTTGTGAGAAATATCAGAGCTGGCCAGACCTCCCCTTGCTTAAAGCCAAATACATCCTTACCTGACATAATGGTAAGCAATGCCCGATCAAAGAAGGCCGATGTTCTGCAGTGGAGCTATGACACTGACATTTGGACCGTGGGAAATGGAGTGCAGTTTAGGGGCTGAAAGGTCATTTTTGTGGCAACAGAGACCTTGGTTCAAATCTCCATTCAGCCAGTTACACAGTTTCACTTGAGACATCAGTTATCCTCAGCCTGAGCCTTATCAGGGGGACGTGTGATGAGGCTGATTTTAGGTGAGTAACTCCAACTGCAGCACGTGGGGTGGAAGGGATGTGGCCCGGAGCAGAGGGCTGGGGAGAGTTTGCCAGAATGCTGCCAGAACACAATTAGTCATAACCAAAGCTTCCAAAATCATTTCAGAACTTAAAGTGGATTCTCGCTGACGTTTTTAGCCAAAGACATTCTGATGGTGCCGGATTTTACAAACGTTCTTTGGCATTTATAACGGCTTTATTACTAAATGTCTTAGATTCTTCTAAAGTCCTTCAGAAGACAGAAGCCTTTCCCCTTCATACAAAGCAGATTCCTGTGGCATCTTTTATTATCCCTAGGAATGCAGGGAAGAGTTCAGAAATAATTGATGAGCATAGCTAGGACTGAAGAAACAAATTAAGATTCATTATTCCATTCTGGCAGTGCTCTCAGTGTTTTAGAATCTGTTGATAACAAACGCTAGGAGGAAGTTTAAGTACAAGTCTGTTTCCCTCATGTCCACTTGAAAGCTCTAACGAAGCTCTTCTGGGAAGCCTGGGAGAGGCTTAATGAAGCCCAGGAAGGGAGTGTGATGATTCAATAGATAATAAAAAACCTTTGCTCTCCTGTATCTAATTATCTTTTCTTTTCAAGGGTGCTTGAAAGCTCTAAGTCACAGATGATCTACTCTGAAAAATAAAGGAAGAAATCCTTTCCAAAGCGAGTTCCTTCAGTGGGAGGACGTTTCCACTGATAATAGGTTAAGGAGCCTAATCTAAGCACAGGTGGAGGATAACTGATCTCTCAAATGTATTGAACTTTTAACTGGCCAAGCTGGGATTAGAACCCAGGTTTCTGTGACTGTAAAACTGTGCATTTAACCTACATTATACTCCATCCACCCTCGTGACCCAGGCCTCCCTGCCCCTCAGCCACATGGTTCACAGGTTATAGCTTCAAGCTGAGGCTGGCAGGGAGGCAGCAAAGGGGTGGTGGACGTCAGTATTTTTTTCTTTTTTAGAGACACGGTCTCGCTCTGTTACCTGGGTTGGAGTGCAGTGGCGTGATCCCAGCTCACTACAATCTCTGCCTCCCAGGCTCAGCAATCCTCCCACATCAGGCTCTCGAGTAGCTGGGACCACAGGCACGCACCGCCATGCTCAGCGAAGTTTGTATTTTTATTTATTTATTTATTTTGGTAGTGACGGGGTTTCACCATATTGCCCAGGCTGGTCTTGAACTTCTGGAGTCAAGTGATCCACCTGCCCTAGCCTCCCAAAGTGCTGGTATTACAGATGTGAGCTATCTTGCCTGGCCAAATGAGTGATGTTCTTGAGGAGAGAACTTTGAGGACCCTCCTAACTCATGACTGGCCAAGGCAACACGTTTAGGAGTGGAGAACGGCCTTTATAGACAACACAGACTACTCAGTACACTAGCAAGCTGCTAACCCCGTGCAAACCATGAAGATGGGATAAACCATTAGCCTTCATTATCAATTTCAATCAAACAATATTTAACCCAACCAGGGATATTATACGGCTTAATGATTCACCTATCCCAGGAACCTGATCGTTTTAGAATCTCTGCAACTAGCTAGAAGGCTACATTTAAGATTTGACACCCTTCTCAAGGATCACATGCATAAGGAGAGCTGCGGGGAAACTGGAAGGCTCCAATGACAGCTCTTCTCTTCCTTCTCCCACACGAAGGGCAGAGGGAAAGGCCGTCCTGCTCGCAGCAGGGGTTCCGAATCAGAAGAGGCTACTGTGTGCAGTGCAGTGAGAAGTTTGTTAGTACTGTCTGCAGGGACTTGATCAAGATACCTGCGTTGCAACCCCTAGAGAACATGGCTCCCTCTAAGACCATGACAGCCACAGATTGAACGGCTGTCCAGGGCTCCACGAATGGAGGGGAGGAGGAGGGCTGGTCCGCAGTCAGCCCTTTCACTTTGTCATTTGGGCTTCTTTCCAGGCCCGCAGCACTCACCTCGGCCTGCCAGATGGGGTTCACGGTGTTGCCTATGATCTTGGATCTCCTCTCCTGTCCATGGTGAGGCAGGGCGGGGAAGATGCTGTGCTTCCCAGGCTGGATGGAAATCTTCAGATAAGGGTCTGGATTGAAAAACATCCCTTTCTTCAACCCCATGGCTTGGAAATCTATAAAATAAAGGATACTTTAATTGAAATGTTTTAGGGAGTTTAACAACTGGCATTTGGTAACTACACCTTTCATGAAAGGACCATTGGCCCTTATGAACTGAATCTCTAGTGTTACTCACTTAGGTAAACGGGCTGGGGTGAAGGAGTGAGGATCACCCCAGGAAACGTGGGTAGCACAGGGAGAGAAAGTCCAACTTTGGAAATTTGATGGGTCTCTGGGTGTAAAATTCCTCTGCAAGGTGGAGACATTACAAAAATAAGGGTTGTAGTCTCACGATATATGTGGGCCTCACTGAGTAAGGTGAGAGAATTGGCAGAAATAGAGAGAGGAGAGGATGAAAAGAGCACAGAGCGTGGACAATGGAAGAAACAACAAATAAGACCTGGCCTCCATGGGGCTGAGTGCGGTCAACGAGGAGAGTTCTAAGAAACCCTGCTACCAGGGAGGACAGGGCTTCGAAAAACGAACTGTTCTGTTGAATTGGAGATATCTGATCATGTACCATTTCAGGCTGCACAAGGAGACAGAGACAGAAAGTGTGTGCACAAGATTACTTATGACAATGGGTTTATAGTTGTTCAAGGATGATTTGAAATCACATTATATTTATTAGAAATATATTTATGATGGCCAGGCGCGGTGGCTCAAGCGTGTAATCCCAGCACTTTGGGAGGCCGAGGCGGGTGGATCACGAGGTCAAGAGACCAAGGAGGTGGAGGTTGTGGTGAACCAAGATTGTGCCATTACACTCCAGCCTGCGTAACAAGAGCGAAACTCCGTCTCAAAAAAAAAAAAAAAAAAAAGAAAAGAAATATATTTATGGTGTCAAGGAATATACTTTTTTTTTTTTGAGATAGAGTCATCCAGGCTGGAGTGCAGTGCCAGGATCTTGGCTCACTGCTAACTCTGCCTCCTGGCTTAAAGCAATTCTCCCTGCTTCAGCCTCCAGAGTAGCTGGGATTACAAGGGCCCACCACTAAGCCTGGATAATTTTTGTATTTTTTAGTAGAGATGGGGTTTTGCCATGTTGGCCAGTCTGGTCTTGAACTCCTGACCTCAGGTGATCCACCCGCTCTTGGCCTCCCAGAGTGCTGGGATTACAGGAGTGAGTCACCACACCCAGCCAAAGAACATAATTTTTGAAGCTTTTCTATTGTTGAAGAATTTTTCAAACAAAATTTTTTTACATTTATACACAAGTGAAACAAAAGGAGATAAAGATACACAGGTCAGTGACTCCCAGTCATGGTATAAGTTGTGAAGTGTATCAAAGATTTGTTACTGAAGAAAAAGCACAGATGTTTTCATAGGCATTTATTTAAAAGTTATTTTGAGTTAATCCAAGGTTATCCCCATAATAAAATTATTCCTACTCTCTGGCTTGATAATATAGCATTGCTCTGTGAAAGGGCCATATATTCAAAATGCCCCCCAAATGCCAAAGGAGCTGAGAAACCAAAGAAGGAGGCAGACAAATCTAGTTTGTCAGTGAAAGGAGATGGATTAGGGAACTTACAGCCAAGCATGGTCCTGGGCTGCAGGAGTCTGGTAGATCTCTGCACTGTTACTCTCCAGACACAGGGCTTATATACCATAGGGAAGGGCTACATAAGCCCTTGCTCTGTGCAAGCCAATGAGAGGCAGCCCTCCAGAACAGGCAGGAATGCTGCATGCCTCACAGCCTATTGTTGCTGCCATCACATCAAGGTTGACATGTTCTTACACTAGAGATGGTGGATAAAGTAGGAAACGGAGGCATTTGTGGGACTGGAGCTGATCAGAAGTCAGCACAGAGGTTTGCATCCACAATGGAGTCACTTTTGCCCCCACAATTGCCAATGAAAGGAAAAAAGGCAGGAAGTAGAAACATCATAGAAATTTGCAAAACCCAGGCCGCATCTACAGCAGAGTGTACGGACAGGGGGTCCTCAGCTAAGGAAACCATGAAAACTAGAGGAAAAATTATTTCTCCCTCTATGAAAACTAGAGGAAAAATTATTTCTCACTCTTTTAGAACATTTGGTATACACAGTTCTTAAGGGTACATAGTATTTAATCATTTAGCTCTATGGTAATTTATTTAACCAAGCCTTAATTTTGAATGTTTGTGTTGTCTCCAATATATCTGTAAAGAAGTTTGCAGTTCTGATTTTGTTATTTAGAATGCTAAAAGTGCACTTCATTGAAAATTAGAGTGATAATATTTACCTAGAAAATTTATTACCTCTAGGAAGTGGTAAAAATAGGAAATATAAATAGATTTGACAGGTAAAGCATTTATGTGAACAATCTTGCTTTGATATGTTCATTGTATTCTTGGGGCTTTCTAAGAAGGCAATTCCATTATCTACTTTCTGGTTATTTCTCCTTTTAAATCTTAAAAAGAAAATCAGTGTTTTTATATTGCAATGTCTCCAATTCTTGAGTTTTCTTGGATTTTATCTTTGTATGCTGGAATACACGCTCACATATTATTTTAAAGTGAGGTGTAAGGGTGGTAGTCTTTGATCCCTTATAGACCTGAGGGTGTTTCTCTTGCCTTCCCACATAAATGACAATCTGGTGGACATGGACATCTTTGGTTAAAAAATGTTCCTCTTAGAACTTGTGAAATGGGAGAGTTCCCTGACCCCCCCTCACAAGACTAGCAACAAGGGTGTGGCTCATGGACTCAAACCCCTTATGGAAGAGGGAGCATGCAGATAGTGCAGGAGCCGGGGTGAGTGCTTTTGAGCTCCTGCCCCAGGGTAGCATCTGGGGTGGGTGTCTATGACTCCTGAAGCCCGAGTGGGTATGTTAAAGTGCTCCTTTAGCTCTGCTGTGTGTGATGGCTTAAGTATTAATCAACTCAGTGTCGTCTTGGTACCTGGATCCTTGTCCGGCACCCGGAAGAATCAGATCACACACGGACTTGAAGGATGGTGAATGCAGGGGTTTTACTGATTGGTGGAGGTGGCTCTCAGCAGGATGAATGGGGAGTTGGAAAGGGATGGAGTGGAAAGATGATCTCCCCTGGAGTTTGGCTGTCCCTTGGCCAATCTCCTCTGTGACCTTCCCTAACTGAACTCCTCTCAACATTTGGATGTGCCTTCTCTTCTCTCCTTCTGTGCTGTGCCACTCTTTTGTTGTTTTGCTCTTCTGCTCATCTGCTTGTGAAGCCTGGGGGATGGGGTTTATATGTGTACAAGATAGAGGGGCACGGCAGGCCAAAAGGCAACATTTAGGTGTGAAAACAGGAATGCCTCTTCCCATTTAGGGCCATGGGCTTCCAGGATTGGGGGTGGGGCCTTTGCTGGGGAACTGCCCTTTTCTACCCTGTCTCCTGTCCATATCACTTGTTAGGCTTTACTTCATTATTTTGGCATCTCAAAAGACAAGTCTGAGATTAGCATGACGATTGTTCTTTTGTACATGTCATGCATTTTCAGCCCAGATGTCTACTGTGGCTATATTTGAAAAAAAATATATCTTTTTAAATGAGATTTGTCTAGGTGTTGGTCTCCATATACATTTCTTTTTCTCAGCTCCTGATGGCCTTCCTTAATTTAAATACTAAAAATTATCTTCAGCTCAATAAAGTTTTCTCTTACATTACTGTTTCTGTTCAGTTTGTTCAGATTTCTTCATCAAAAACACTGATTATGTGTTGGCTCTATATGTGCCATTCATCTATTTTTTCCTCATCCTTTTTGGGTTTTGCCCTTCATTGATGCCTTCTGGAGAGACTCTCAAGTCAATCTCTCATATCATTGATTCCCTTTCTGTAGTGGTGATTGTGCTCTATACGGCTTTTGAAGGCTTTTAATTATGTGATTGTAATTTTTAGAGTTTATTTTAAATCTCTTCTTGACTGTGGTAGGCAGAATAATGACCCCTCAAAGATGTTCACATCCTAATCCTTGGAGCCTGTGAATATGTTACCTTACATGGTAAAAGGGACTCTACAGAGTGACTATTATATGTAAATTTTTGGTGCCACAAAAGAAGTAGCACTTGAATATAAATTTAATTTTTCTCAGCAAGGCAACTTTACTTTCTGCAGAAAGGGTATTCCCGTTAGCCATCTTGGCATGAGAGGACACTGAGCAAAGGAAGCAGGGCCATTTATATCTCACACATTCACCTTACTTCTGTGTCCTGATTCCATTGGCTGGAACTGGACTTCACAGTCTAGGTTGCACCTGGTTGGCTAACAACTTAAAACTTCTAAAGAGGTGAAGGCAGAGGAGACCAAAGGAAAAGAGGAAGTAACTTGAATGCTTAGAGAAGCAATAACATTTCCAAATAAGGGAGGGGAATAAGCTGTTATCCAAGACGTGCCTGGGCTTGCCCAGGCACGTCAGGGCAAATATCTAACTCAGAACACGGGATACACTTTTTTCTTTATTATGACTAATGGTTACTTTCTTAGCAAAAGCTTTAAAGTAAATTAACCTTTGAAGAAACTATTATTTATTCATAATGAACTAAGAGGAAAGCTTTGAGGAGGAATCTTTTATTTATTCTTATTTCCTACAGTGATTACATCGCACTCACCTGGATAGTTTAGGAAAGATTTATCCTAAACTATCCAGGTGGGTGCGATGTAATCACAGAGTCCTTGTAAGATGGAGGCAGGAAGAGCAAAGTGAGAAGGCAATGTGATGAGAGAAGCAGAGATTGGAGCAACGTAGCCATTAGCCAAAGAATGCTAGAAGCCCCTAGAAGCTGAAAGAGGCAAGGGATGGATTTACACTGGAGCCCCCAGAAGGAACCAGCCTGGGTGTCAGCTTGATTTTAGTCCCTTAAGATTCATTCTGGACTTCTGACCTCCAGGACAATAAAAGTACATTTGTGTTGTTTTAAGCCACTAAGTTGGTGGCAATTTGTTGTAGCAGCAAGAGAAAGTCAAAAACACTTGACTTGACTTTCTTTTTTTTTTGAGACAGAGTTTTGCTCTTGTTACCCAGGCTGGAGTGCAATGGCGCAATCTTGGCTCACCGCAACCTCCGCTTCCTGGGTTCAAGCAATTCTCCTGCCTCAGCCTCCCAAGTAGCTGGGATTACAGGCGTGTGCCACCATGCCCAGCTGATTTTTCGTATTTTTTTTTTGAGATGGAGTTTCGCTCTTGTTACCCAGGCTGGAGTGCAATGGCGCGATCTCGGCTCACCGCAACCTCCGCCTCCTGGGTTCAGGCAATTCTCCTGCCTCAGCCTCCCGAGTAGCTGGGATTACAGGCATGCGCCACCATGCCCAGCTAATTTTTTGTATTTTTAGTAGAGACGGGGTTTCACCATGTTGACCAGGTTGGTCTCGATCTCTTGACCTCGTGATCCACCCGCCTCGGCCTCCCAAAGTGCTGGGATTACAGGCTTGAGCCACCGCGCCCGGCCAATTTTTCGTATTTTTAGTAGAGATGGGGTTTCACCATGTTGACCAGGATGACCTCAATCTCTTGACCTCGTGATCCACCTGCCTTGGCCTCCCAAAGTGCTGGGATTATAGGCGTGAGCCACCGCACCCAGCCCCACTTGACTTGACTTTCTAAGTTTCAATTTTTGCAAGCCTCAGAAAACTCCCTTATCCTCTTTTCTCATCTTTGATCTCTTACTTAATATGCTCTGTACTTTCCTCTGTTTTGTTGAGGGCACAAGTGGAAGAATGATAAATACTTTACTTTTCTTTAGTAGGTGTTTGTCAGTAAAACAGTTGCTTTTTCTCTTGAGTATGGTAGTCTTCAACTTTTTAATAGGGTAGATTATTTTCTCCACACATTCTTCAAGTCAAAATTTCTGTTGTTTACCTATGAGCATGCCTTGTAGTCCTGGCATTTGTCCATCTTTAGTGAGTCTGGTTGTCCAAGGGTTGCTGCTGGAGTCCTTAGCTCTGTTCTTATACTCAGAGCTGACCAGCATGGAGAAAATTTTTGATGTTTTATGGGCTTTGCTGATCTTTCTGTCTTGTTTTTCTTTGAGGCATGGAATTTATTTTTATTCTTATTTTATTTTAGTCTTTTGAAGCATAGTCTTGCTCTGTTGCCCAGCCTGGAGCACAGTGGCACAGTTAGAGCTCACTGCAGCCTCTGATCTCTTGGCTCAAGTGATCCTCTTGCCCCAGCCTCCTGAGTAGCTAGGACTATAGGTACACGCTACTATGTCTGGCTAACTTTTTTTACTTTTTGTAGAGATGGGATCTTGTTATGTTACCCAGGTAGTCTCAAACTCCTGGGCTCAAGCAATCCTTCTGCATTGGCCTCCCAAAGTGCTGGGATTATAGGTATGAGCCACCATGCTTGGCTGCATAGACTTTATTTTGATAGTTTCAGCAGTATTTGCCTTTTGTCCTAGGCAGATATAGTGAACACAACACACATATACATATCCAACTACTGAGCATTATATGTCTATAACCGTTCCAGGCTTGCTCCAATAGCCACTCACTTTATATCCCTAGTCATTTCCCTTTGCTGGTAATTGTTGTCTTGGAATAAATGTAAGAAAAATGAAGTGTTTGGGGACTACAGGAGATGAACCAGCCCTTCACCTTATACAATAGCTTTGTGAACCAAGTTGGGGTGGTGGGGGCCTTCCTCCTCTGGTAGCCCTGTGAGCCCATGTCTTCACAGCAGAAGCAAACTAGAGATGAAGGAATAGAGACTGTCCCTTCCCCAGCCTTGCCCTGCTCACCCTGCCTGGCATTCCTCTTGGGCTTCGGGACTTGGGCTTAACTGCTGCTTTGGTTAGTGACAATTCCTCTGCGTTTCTGGCCTATAGTTGTACAGTATTCCTGGTTTCTTCTGTGTTTGAAGGCTGGTACTAATACTTGTTATTTCTTAAGCATTTTAATGGGAGTTGCTAGCTTTTGTCCAAGTAGCACAAAATTAGTGAGTTTGAAACGACCATGGCAAAATTATAACTGAGACAGTAAAATAAATCTGACCTAACCAACTCCATCTTGCGCCTAACCTACAAGCCGTCTTTGTTCATTCCTGGGCATAGGTCCAACTAACTTTGGGAGGAACTTAGTTTATGATTTACCTTTGAAACAAAGACAACAGCAGCCCTTTCCTGAAACAAACCTCCTTCTTGCCTGGAGATTAGACGCAAGAAGGAGTTGTAGGATTAACAAATTAGTCAAAAGATTATAAATTATGAGTTAGGAGTCATGCAGCTGGAGGCTACAAGATTCTGACTACCCCCAAATTGCTCCCGGGGATAATGTTACTATTGTGAAACCTAAGATCAGCGCTTGGGATATTTTGTAGACCCTGTACTTGATGGATCAGCTGGCACCACCCAGGTGGATAAACTGGCTCATCTGAGCTTGTGGCCCAGACACAGTAACTGACTCAGCACAAGAGGACAACTCCTTATGATTTCACAAGAGCTTCAACTCTGTATGATTTCACCTCCAACACAACCAATCAGCACTCCCGACTCACTGGCCCCTACCCACCAAGCTATCCTTAAAAATTCTGATCCCTGAATTCTGGAGACTGATTTGAGTGATACTAAAACTCTGGTCTCCTGCACAGCCAGCTCTGTGTGAATTACTCTTTCTCTATTGCAATTCCCTTGTCTTGATAAATTGGCTCTGTCTAGGCACTGGGCAAGGTGAACCCATTGGGTGGTTACAAGTTTTTCTTCTTCAGCTTAGACATACACATGCTAATATTGTTAATGGATCAAAACATATTTGCTTTACTGAGCTCATTTAGACTTGAAAAGCCCCAGTTTACTATGTAGCTCCCAAGAAAGCACAGGCACTTCATGTCTGTGACCTCTGATTACTGGCATTCATGGCCTGCAACATCTGCTGATTTGACAAGCTGAGGTAGTAGTTTTCCAACTGTGCTCAATGGAGTCCTCAAGTTTTATGCTGCTGTGTCCCCTTAAAGACTGTTTAGGGTGGGAGTGAATATGTGAAGCCCTGTGCTTTGTATATCATGTTAGCCAGAGCAGCTCAGGTTTTTTTAAACTTTAAATTATTTTTTTGTTTTTGAGATGGAGTCTCACTCTGTAGCCCAGGCTAGAGTGCAGTGGTACAATCTCGGCTCACTGCGACCTCTGCCTTCCAGGTTCAAGTGATTCTCCTGCCTCAGCCTCCCAAGTAGCTGGGATTACAGGCACGCACCACCATGCCCAGCTAATATTTGTATTTTTAGTAGAGACAGGGTTTCACTATGTTGGCCAGGTTGGTCTCGAACTTCCGACCTTGGGTGATCCGCCCACCTTGGCCTCCTAAAGTGCTGGAATTACAGGTGTGAGCCACCATGCCTGGCCTTAAATTTTTAAAATAATTCTGGATTCACAGAAGGGTTCTAAAGATAATCCAAAGATTTCCCACATACCCTTTGTGCAGTCTGCCCCTTTATTAATATATGATGGTACATTCATGAAAACTAAAATGTTAACTTACTCTTAAATATTAAACTAAAACACTATTAGTTAACAGACTTCAATTGGATTCCACTGATTCTTTTTTCCACGAATGTGCATTTTTGAGTGGCTCAGTTATCTGTTTTGCCAATTGTGCCCCACGTGAAGTTTTTTTTTAGACAAAGGGTTGAATAGCTGCTTCTCTTCCCAGGTTTTCCTTACTTTCCTCGTGTCCCTTTGTATACGCTCAATTACTGCTATGAGGCCCTAGGGGAGAGGCAGAACTGCAGCCTCTGTTCCCATCATCTCAGTGTGCTTTCACATCTCTTACTTCCTAAACTATTATCCTTATGTGGTCAAGGGGAAGTGAACAGATTTAAAACATATTTTTGCTTTCAGGACTGAGAAACTGAGGCACAGAGAGGTTGAGTGACTTGTAGGGAAGAGTGAAATGGAAGCAGGTGTTCTGACTCTTGCTTGACGTTCTTATTCTCCCCACAAGACCTCTAGGTGAGCAAAACATACCTGAGAGAGAGAAGCTGATCAGCCTCCGACTTCCTTGTCCTTGGACAGTCTCATCAGAGCCAATGCTTTTAAAAATCTGTAAAAAGAAAGAAAGTGAGAGACAAGCAAAACAAGCACTGAAATGGATATTCATGCTTCAGCACAGGCATGCTTATTCACAGTTATTTTACCAGCTACCGGCAATGAAGACAGTGATTTCACTGGGCAACTATTGATTAAAAGAAGCTTCTAGCAACCTAATGTCTTTCCCAGTAGTAGAGGATCTGCTAGTGGGGGTGATGGGTACTTTTCAGGGAAACAGAAATCAACACACACAATTACTATAATAGAAAAGCCCCTTTGTAACTACTTATGCAAACAATGTCTTTTCACATTCAAATTTGCAAAAAGTATTTATTAAAGCAGGGCCTAAGACATTAGAATGATAGGTCAATAGATGTTTACTGTTGTAATTATAATGTGTTTCCATTTAGCAAAGTAGAGTGTTGATCTGCTGCATCTCCACTTATTATTATTATTTAGGGATTTCCAGGAAACTGCTGGGGAGGAGCCCGAACATGGCATTAAGCAGCTCTTCTGAGATCTCTCTTAATTAAGCAGATGGCTTCCTGGGAAATTTCAGAACACAATTGTTATATGAATTATCTGCTGTCTAGCAGGTATTTGAAAATAACATTGCTAAAATGTTTTCTTTTTCATCATTGCTCAATATTTAGTAATAGGTCAATCAAAATAGCTAAAGTTTTTGCTTCTATTCTCATCTAGGAAGGTTTTATTCAGAAATGATTTTGAGAATTTATTTGAAGTCAGAATAACTCTTCCTATTTACCTTTGCATGTGTTGTATGTTTGCAAAAAATAATGTTAAAACTCTGGGTATTAAGCAAATCCAGTGACCATTTTTTAGAAGATAATCTGTACTAGGAAAAGAAAAATGAAAATGTCCATAATCTCTTGTTCAGAATCTGTTTGTAGACTGTGTGGGTTCAGTCTCTTTCTTTCTTCTCTTACTATTCTTGATGCTGTAAGAGTTGTGATTGGATGTGCATATCAACCTGCCTGATATGAGACCAAGAGTAATGATGGGGCATCACAGGGCTCACAGCCTCAGCCAAGAGGAGTACAAAGGGATTATTATTCATCTTTCCACACTGAAGCAGTTACCCCTGGCGAGCCTGTGAGCTTGGCTGCAGCTTGTGGACAGATCTTGGTATGGCTGCCCTGAGGCCCAACTGTGATGTACATCTCATGGAAACTGGGCTGTTCACAAAGGGAGCCAACCAATGTAGTGACGTATGGAATGGGATAAGACCAGATAAGAGATTGTCAAACTCTTTGACTCATGTCTGTCCCTTAGAGTCTTATTTGATAAGAATCAGAGTAAAACATGGCCAAGTGAGTCAAAACTCTCATGGGTTCTGAGGTGTTATAAAAACTTGAACCTTACATTTGTCTTAAAAATGCCTTTGCCAAATTATGACTGAGACAGTGAAAGAGATCTAACTTAACTGACTCCATCTTTCTTCTAGCCTCCAAGCTGTCCTTGTTCGTTCATGGGCCTTGGCTGAACTAACTTTGGGAGAAACTTAGTTTATAGTTTAAACAAAGATGGTAACAGTCCTTTCCCAAAGCAGACTTCCTTCTTGCCTGGGGACTAGACTACCTTTGTAGGATTAACATTAGCCACAAGATTAGAAATTATGGTTTAGGAGTCATGCAGCTGGAGGTTGCAAGATTCTGGTCCTCCCTAAACTGCTCCTAAAATCAGTGTTTGAGATATTTTGCAGACCCTGCATTTGATGGATCAGCTGGCACCACCAAGATCAATAAACTGGCTCATCTGATCTTGTGGCCCCCACTCAGGAACTGACTTAACTGTAGGAAGACAGCTTTGACTCCCTACTCCCTATGATTTCATCTCTGAGCAATCAGCACTCCTGGCTCACTGGCTACCCATCCCCCACCCAAAGTTATCCTTAAAAACTCTGTTCCCTGAATGTTCTGGGAGACAGATTTGAGTAATATCAAAATTCCAGTCTCTCTCACAGCTGGCTCTGCATGAATTACCCTTTCTCTATTGCAATTCCCCTGTCTTGATGAATTGGCTGTCTAGGCAGTGGGCAAGGTGAACCCCTCGGGCAGTTACAGTCTCATTGGAAATCCTTCCTCAGACAACTGACTCTCAAGTAAGGGACTGAAACTCACCAGATGCCCACATCTAGCCCATGAGATACCAGACCCCTCATTCGTCTTCCTTAGTTCCTTAGACCCCTCCTTCATTCCTGTTTTACATTCCTTCCCTGATATATAAACCCCAATTTTAGTTGGTCAAGGAGATGGATTTGAAACTTATCTCCATTTTCCCAGTTAACATCGCCCAAATAAAAAGCCTTCTTTCCTGGCAATACTCGTTGTCGCAGTGATTGGCTTTCTATGCATAGAGCAATAGGACCTAGAACAAACCTCTGGCATTTTGGTAACAATTAACTTTCTTTATATTGGAGGGCCCTCTCCTTCCTACTTTCTGTTTGTTATTCCCATCTAACGGCTGACACTAAGAAATGGAGATCAGCCATCAGCTCAGAGACCACATCCTCAGAGATCACACTCTTAACTCTGAAGATGGCCAGTTCTCATGGCATAATCAGGGCTTCCAAATTCCTTCATGTTGTGAACTTTTCTTCTCCTGCAAGCCTGTGCCTGGAAACAGCTGTGGGAGTTCTCCACATGTTGACCGCTCCTCCTCACAGTGCTGTACTGCACCACCAGGACAATTACAATCAATGGCTAAAGCCGCTGGCTCCTAATTCTAACTTAAAAATGTCCACTCCAAGCTTGTCTCTTTCAGAGAATATAAGTTCTTTGGGGGAACAACAAAAACTATAATTTTAATAATTATAGTTTATAGAATTATAAGTCTAGAGTATGTGTATTCCACTGTATATTTCTAAAGGTGTAGGATTAAACTGAGTATTTCACGCTAAGCTGAAATGAGCTCAAACATGCAATGATAACAAAGGATGGTACGTTTACTTCTGCCTTTTTAAAGCATACATATTTTGATTCTTCATATTTAAATATTCCTCTGCTGGCATTCAGAGTATTTACAAAGAAGCCTCTTCATCTTTAAGGCGTCAAAAACAGGTCTGTAGACCAAAGGAAAAAAAAAAAGAAGAAGCAAAAAGAGTATATTTTCCAAAAGCTATTACGTTCAGTGGGGAAACACATCCTTTAAGTCTCCATGAGATTCTGCGTAAATTCTTGGCTTTCCCTAACGTCATTTACAAAGTCATCTAAGCACCACACTGATGACACAAAAATAGAGGGACCAGGAGCCATAATAAATATTTTCCAGGAAGTAAAAATGTTTGCCCAGTCTTAGGGAGGTTTGACATCCTGACTTCTTGCTCAAAATGCATTGCAGAATCATGTTTGACGTTGAGAAATGTGCTGTTCTCACAGACAGACTCTTCACAGTTTATTGACTGTGAAAATGACGTGAAGACTCAGCCCAAACAGTTTTACCCTGGAGCAATCTGAGGCTGTAGGCCTGTTGTCAGGGAGACGGCTTGTCTTCTCAGGGCTGACAAGCTCACTTTACTCTGTGGCTTGTCTGATGCCCGACTGCCATCCTAACTGCTTGGTGCTGGGTCCTATTGCCCCTCTCTCTATGACGAAGCTCTGGCAGTTTCACTGTGTATGTCTTGTACCCAAATGTTTCCACAATAAAGCCTACTTGGCAAATGGTTTAACAGATTCCAAACTGAATCTACCGTGGGGCATAGAAGATTCTGCAGGGTATTGAGAAGCTCTTAAATTATGGGCTTCGAGGTTAATTCAGATGTCTCTCCAAGTCCCATTCTCATTTTCTCTTTACAATTGCCTTTTGCAAAGTTGTAAGCATGAATTCACACCACTGTTGCACACCCCTAAAACTGCAATTCAGCAAGAGAGTGTGCAGATCAGCTCTTTTCACCCTGGCAGGGGATCTTCTGTTTCAGCAGTCTGGAGACCATAGTTCAGTTAATGAGGCTCCCTCAGCCTTTACTCTCCAGTATGTTATTCAAATTCTACCCTTTCTTTGCACAGTATCACTGCATGAAAGATGAAGTGGTTTGCTAAAAATACACAGCAGCATCTAATCACACAGTCATATATGCATGTTGACCTATATCCCCGGTTTTCCAGCCTCCCAGGGCATCAGGGCTTCTCAGACAGGTGCCTTCTGTTCCCAGAGGTAAGCATCTATGCCCAGGGGCAAGGGTGCCTGCCCAGGAGCATCATTCTACTAAAAATTTTGTGTAAAGTTATTTTTATTTTAAAAACAAATATGAAGAAACCTAAAGTTGAGTGCCAAATGAGCATGCCTTTGGAAGGTAAAGAAGGAGATTTCAAAGAACTTTCTAAGCTGCTTCCTGGAATGGCCCAGACCCGGGTTTACTTCCCTTGGGTAAAAGCTGGAGCCGCTCCCTTTAGTGTACATGGCATTTCCAATAGGAGTGTGGCCATGTTATACTCAATGCTGATGTGATATCTCCATTTACATAGCCACAATTACTCTCAAGTGATTACAGAGTGATTTCCCCTAACCATGCTGACAAGGTTTGTTTTAGTTATAGAACAATTAAGTCGACAATGATGCCAGAGATTGAAATTCATTATGTCACTAAGTCTCTATTTATGTGGTGCAGAAAACGTTGATTTGCCTATAAATGAAAAGTACAGGGCTCCATAATGATAATGGAATCTAAAAATGAGGTGAAAATATCATCACATTATCAATAATATCTAAGCTGTGGTGTATTGGCAGCCAAAAGTAGGGAATTATGTGTTTCACTTTGCATCAGAGATTCAGGGATTTCTCTAAAGTTCAGTATCTTTTACCTCCAAGACAAAGTCTATTAAATATTTGGATAGGCCACAAAGCCACCTTAAAAGAACAAGAAACAAAAACTAAAAAGCAAATCAATCAAAGCCCCAAGTTCCATTTCCAACTCCAAATCTCTGAGATGTTCAAACAAGCATATGGTAGATCAGCAAACACATCTTACCCTCTTTACAGAGCACTGCTGAGTGC